GGTGTCCCAAGAAATCAACGCAACTCGCCCCAAAACTACACTTAGTTGGTCTAAAAGTCATCCCCGTTTCCAATAAACGTGCAAACAACTCTCGGAGGGCTTTAATATGCTCTTCCCAGGTGCGTGTATGAACCAATATATCTTCCCAGTAAAAATCGACGCTGTCTAAATCCTCAATTAATTTCTTCATAGCTCGCTTCAGGGTTGCTGTAGAGTTAATCATTCCAAACGGCATCTTTAAGAACTCGTACGAACCGTCGGGTGTTACAAACGCAGTCTTCGCAATATCCTCCTCAGATATGGTGATCTGCCAATAGCCCTTATTAATATCAATCTTTGTGAACAACTTATCACCACTCAGCTTCTGGAACAGGTGTTCCGCGGTCGGCATAGTTTCAGGGTCAATAACAGTCAGCTTATTTAACTTCCGATAGTCAACGCAGACTTGATTGATGTTGTCTTTCTTCTTTACTACAACAACAGGCGACGCATAGGGTAAACTTGACTCCCTAATAACTCCCATTTTAATCATATCGGCGATATCTTTCCTCAACGACTCCCTCATGCTGTAAGGAACTGGATAGGTCTTGACCGAACAGGCTCATCTGAGGTAAGTTTGATGTGATGCAGGGCGAGCTCTGTAATACCTGGTCCCTCGGTAAATAGACTTGAAAACTTTTTGGCTAGGTCCATAAATTCAGAACGATATTCTTCAGTAAGATTTGACCCGGTGGTAACTTCTGCAACAGATTCCTTAGCATCATAGCCACCGATCTCTAGGAAATCAACATTATCATCATCCTCCGCATTCTTTACTTCACATTCTTCAATTTCACAGTGCATAAAATGATCATCTACTTCTACCACCGCTCCTGCTCCTTCTGTGGTAGCTTCATCTCTTTCAAAATACTTCTTGAGGAGATTCGCGAGGAAAACTTTCTCCTTTCCTTTCACTTTAACTCTGTAGTCGTTAAGGCCTACTACTGAACTCACTTCAAAAGGACCCTTCCACTGCGTCAGAAACTTATTGTGATCAGTTGGTAATAGCACAAGAGCTTTCTCACCACGCTGAAATTTTCTGACTCTAGTCTTGCGATCATAATAGTGCTTTTATTTATCTTGCGCCTTCTGTGACTGATTGTAGGCTAATTGAACGGTTTCTTCCAACTTCTCTCGCAGCTCAAAAACGTACTGGTAGTTTTTCTTGACTTCCGGTTCCTCCACTTCTTTCGTCCAAAGCTCCTGTTTATCTAAAGTAGGGCTCTCTTGGTAACTTGGTACTTTTAAAGGGGTAACTTAATTCACAGTCTTTCTTACCTTGACTTTTCGTGGTTACAGCGCATGCTTCTTGCCAAGTTGGGTCTGGTTCATCTGCAGGTCTAGCTCCAGGAACGTTACCTATTATAAGGTCGTAAATGGCATCTGGGAGACACTGCGCTTCCACTTGCCCCTTGAGATAAGGTGTATCAACAGTAAATCTTGCAATAGCACCTTCCTCACTGTGTTATCAATGAGCAGCATAACATTAAAATCACCGGAAAACTGGTCCTCAGACACAAGATTATTCTTAACTACTATACCACTACAACCGGTGTCTCTCAAGACATCCACAGTCTTCACTTCCACTCTTCCTTTTACAACAGGCATTTTCAACCGATCGCTAGACAAAGGTTCAAGGCAGGCATTGTTTACTATTGGGATTTTCTTACTACTGGCTAACAACAGTTTATCATCCTTAATACAAGTTCTAACTTCTTCTTCTGTAGGTTTAACCTCGGGTGGCTGAAATAGACAACCGGCACTCACTTGTCCACGCTGCACAGGGAAACCATCTCTATTTTGTCCTCCTGACTTCTGTTTACCTGAGCGGCAGTTTCTAGCTTCATGCTCTTGCTTGCCATACACGAAGCATTTCTTAACCAGAGACGGGCAGTTCACAGCCTTGTGGCTACGAGCATTGCACTTGAAACACACTACTGTCGTTGAATCATTCTGCTGATTCTTTGTTTCACCCTTCTGAGGTAGTACCACAGGCTTCCTATTAGCGGGACTGAACAAATGTTTTCCTTGTGCTTCTAAGTACTGATCGGCAATCTTTGCTATCTGAACAAGCGATTCCGGGCCTCTTTCACGAATAGCTGACTCATTTGGACAAGAGTCAATAAACTGTTCTTTCACAATTAAATCTTTCAGGCCTTCAAAAGAGCACTCAGTGTTCGACAGCTCTAGCCAACGCAAAAAGCATCTATCCAGTCGCAATATAAACTGTTCAGGACTCTCGTCAACTTCCTGCTTTGATGCTCTAAATTTACGACGATAGCCATCATCTGTAAGGTCATATCTCTTCATCAAAGCTAACTTCACTTGATAATAATCTTGGCCTGCTTCCTCAGATAATCGCTAATAAACCTCTAGGGCACGTCCAGACAAAAGAGCACTAAGTCTCGAAGCCCATCCTGTCTTCTCCCATTTAGCTGTAGTTGCGAATCTCTCAAATCGTTGAAGGTAAGCATCCAAGTCGTCCTTGCCATCAACAAATGAGGGAAGCTTGGGTGCCTTAGCCCTATCCTCTCTCACTTCAGCACGTTCGGTATCGTTATCGCCTTGTCCTAGACGAGCGAGCTCTAGTTCACGCTCTCTCTTAACGGTTTCAATAGCCCCTCTCTGTTTCAACAGGTCTGCTTCAAGCTCTAATTTTCTCACTTCGCGTTCTTGCCGCCTAGTTTTTCGTTCTTCGTCTTCTCTTCTACGCCTTTCCTCTTTCTCTTCTTCTTCCTTTCTTCTGTCTTCCTCAAGCATTCGACGTCTCTCATCCTTTTCTTCTTCTAACTGCCTACGTTTTTCTTCTTTCTCTTTCTCTTCCCTTCTTCTTTCTTCCTCAAGTTCTCGACGTTTTTCTTCTTTTTCCTCTTCTAACTTTTTTTGTTTTTTTCTACAAACTCAAGCAGCTTTTCTCCCTCCAATCCGAATTCTTTCCCTATCTGCAAAAGCTTTTCCATTTCCACGGCAGAAGTTCACAGCAAACACTCTCGATATACTTCCTCGTAACAGTTCTTCTTACTTCTCTGTATACTCCTTTTTCTTGAACTGTCCTTTCCTGGTTACTGTAGCCGGCAAACAGTTGAATTCCTCTCCCAGGACCGGCCCCCAATGGTACGCGGGTAATCTTTTAGAGGACGGGTAGCTTGCAAACCAAACTGAACGCAGGGTTGTCAGAACAGCAACAAGAAGATATATTGCAAAAATGAACGTAGTTTCCACGAAGTAAAACTCCACAATAGCACGTAACTCGTTAAACTTACACGCCAACTTGAATAAACACTTCTGTCACACTTGACCAAACACGACTAACGCTAAAATCTCTTAGCTTGTGAAAACTAGTTAAAGCTTCGCTCGGACTCGCCTACTTATATGCTTTTACAATATGGTTCTAGAACTTTCCAAATAGTCTAATTATAGAAAGATTACAAAATATACTGCTTTAGAAACGCTAACACAAGATCCTAAAATAAACAAACTATGAACTCTCGCGAAGCTCCTAGAAAGTCACGCTATTTACGCAACACAATTTTTCGTAACAGTCCGCAATTCTACAATAGCGGTACTCAGTGCTTAGCAAAAATCCTGCTTATCCTTGACTCAATATGTTTGTATAAAATTGTATAACACTATATCGTTTGGAGAACGATTTGGGCATTGCTCCACTTTGAGAGGGACTAGAAACGTTAGATTTATTCAGATTAATTCTGTTATACACCTATTTTCGTTGCAGTTTTATTTGAACGTGAAATGAAAAGGATCTTAGAGGACGGTGATGTTAATGATATCACTTACCACCTGACACCGCAAGCTCTCACAAAATGTAAAACTAACGCATTACTAATGGCAATAGAGGTGAGTCGTAAAAAACGAAAGGTTTGCAAAATGCAATTGTCAGCATGTTTTTCATTTAATCCGTCCAATTTTTTCGCTTGGCACTGTCGTTGTACTTGTTGTGTTTCTTTTTCGAAGGCAACTATCCCTTGAGTAATCTCTATTTTCTTGTCCTTATTGTAGTTTTTGTACAGAGTGATTTTACTTAACCCGTGAAATAGATGATAGGATACTTGACGCACCATTATGCACTAATTCTATTGTCTTCTTCTGTTTATCTGTAGCTATTTTGCACTAGTTGTTGTTATCTGTTTCGCGGTTCAAGGAAAAGCACTCTAGAAGTCGTATACCAATCGTGTCTCTTTATTTAACGGTTTACCCCGTGCGTGCGCAAACCAGTGCTAGTTATGAATTAATTAACTAAGGCTCTCTGGGCAAGCATAAAATACCCTATTTCTTTAGTTTCAGAAGATAACGTCTTGTTTAGCTGCATCAGTTTTCTAAGAATAGATGTGACCTAAGTGTTTAGCCTAATTTATCTGTGCTCTGCCTTGTGGAAAACACGAGAATTCACAAATTCTTGAATTATACACGTATAAGTACAGTAGGATCCGAAAAAAAGAACCACTTAGAAATCAAAAGAGCATTGTAGTTGTTTAACACGCCATGAAATGAAGGATTCTTGTTGGCTACAAAGAAAAAAAAACTAACAACAACAACAGCAAAAAAAAAAACAAACAAACAAAAAATTGACTCCGAAAACGATCTCGTGAGCATTTTCATTATGACAATGAATTAGCGATCAAGCTTGATTAGATAGAAGTTATGGCCCTGTATTCCAACATTAGCTGTTTTGGCGTTCAGATAGTTGGGGCGTCTCATTCAACACCGCTTTTTCTCCTCTGCTCTTCATTTCTTAGGCTTTATTGCTAAGGTAAGAAATAAAGGCTCCATGCTATTCTTCTGATCAGTTTGAAAGCAGTTTGTTAAATGCTTTGAATCAATGTACTAAGTTTGGCAGTTAAATTTCTGCTGTCCGGAACGTTCCGACCCCCCTCCTGAATCAGTGAGAGGTTGTCTTCCTGACGAAAACGAGATTGCACTCAAAACTGATAGCTAACTTCTACTTCCAGACGAACCTCTCACTCCGCCGCCTGGCACGGAGGAAGGGAAATGAAGAACAAAAAGAGCGCTTCACTAAGTTGGCGAATTCGGTGGACGAGTTCACAAGCTGTTTACTTGACCCTTTGGAAACCAGGACGGGAGATCGGCATGCCTTTGGAGAGTCTTTGGATCTCCTCTTAGATAATGCCATTGATGGGGAGCAAAAGAAAGTGTGTAATGAAATTTTTAAATTCAAAAATAAAGGTTATTGAGTGTCATGGTTGAAGAATGCTCACAGGGAAACTGCTGCTAAGATTTATATGGAGTAGAGAAACAATTTTTATGGCTTTTTATCATTGAGCAAGACTTCTCAAATCGACGGAAGTTCAATCCAATTTTGTTATTTTCAATCATGTTTTCTTATCTAAATCGACGACAAAACATTATTTAGAGACCGAGAGGAAAGTGTTTTCTTAGACAGGCTACTTGTAGGGCCTTGACAATTATTATGAACAATAATTTTGCTTTTTGAAATTAAGAGAAATTTATTGTTTGCATTTTTTCATTGGCAGTTTCTTACTCACCCAGTAATGCAAGACTTGATGCGGAAAAAGTGGTTTGGACCATTCGAAGAAATGAAGAGATCTTCCTCGCTGGAGGTTGGACAGTGGACATGGCTTTTTCTCAACATTTGGTGTTTATTTGACATCGTTTTGTTTCCATTCTTGTTCGCTTTGTTTTACATCAAACATCGAATCAGCAAGGTTACACGTAGAAGCAAAGGTAACATGTTCTGACTTGCTATACGTAAGGGTAATCCCGCCTTGCTTTCACTTATTTATTTATTTTTATTTATTTTTATTTTTTATTTTATCGAGATTCTACAACATTTCCGTGGAATCATATTCCCGTACTTAAAAGAACTTCTTTGAGTGACACATTATTCCAGCTCATACAGACCTCTTTGTAAGCTTTTTTGAACGGCACTTTGTCCTTTTCATTTCGAATATTAATTTCTAGGGTTCCCTTGACAAGTCCCACCCCTTTTTCAGGTTGTTTTGAGGTCTGTTGCTGGAAGAAAAGTTACATTTTCTAGTGTAAAGTGGTTTTGAATCAGTGTTCCAAGTTATTATTCTTGATTTTGCAAGGCGCTAAGATAAACTTTAAATGGAATAATACTCTTCTTTTTTGTTTCTATCAACGCTACTTTGCTAAGATATTTGAAATAAATAGTACATCTATGATGTCAAAGAACGAAAGAGAGCGAGTGCCAGAAGTACAGGCAATGAACCTGCCGACGTACTTTTGAATGCAGTGGAAAAAGCGTTCAGAAAACTACTTTTGGAAGACTAAACTGTGCTCTTTATCTTAATTATACTAGCTTATGACGGGGAAATCACAACAGCGTGTGCCGATATTATTGTTACTGTGTGCCAGAAACATCCCCTTACTTAAACATCCCGACTATGATAAGATAGATCACACTGCCAGGGTCAAATATCCCTTACGTTTTCGAGCGGTTGGGTGGGTTGTTTGACGTCCCTCTCTAACGTCCTTCTGAGGTACCTTGGCAGGCAAGGCTTTCTTCTAACTGATTTTAAGGCCCGGGGTTCTAAGGGTTGCTTGCAGAGTTGGTTGCCTGCAAAGATTTTGTCCGTAATCAACTAGTGTCAAATTTTAGCAACACTACTTCTTTGAAGATGAATGGCAAATCGCAGGAAAAAAAAAAAAAAAAGGTAAAAAAAAAGAAAAAAAAAAAAATGAAGATTAAGTAACCAAAAAAAAAAAGATTACGAAAAAAAGAAAAAGAAAAAGACAAAATTTATGAAATTTATGAGAAAAGAAGGTTAAGAATGATAACAATAGAGGTAGAAAAAAAAAAAAAAAAGGTAAACAGAATGAACAACAAAAACATGAAGATTATGTCACCAAAAAGTAAACGTTTACGAGATGATGAAAGTGCAAGAGTCGATGTTTCGTAATTTTATTTGAATCCATGTTAACCAGTATTAACAATAGAGTTGATGGTGTGATCAAAGACCTGACAGAATTGAAGTCAAGACTATAGTTCACCCAGAAGGATGTCGCAGACTTAAGACCGGTTACGGAGCAGATGTGGCAAAGATTGAACAAGAGCTTAAAGAATTGCAACGTCAAGTAGATTATCATTCTGACAAAATGGAATCTGGAAAACCAGAACCACTGCAACAATATTAGAATTGATGTTATCCCAGAGGAAGCTAATGAAACTTGGGGTGACATATAACGTAAAGCGAAAATGGCGCTAGAATCGAAGCTCAACCTTCTTTTCGAGATGGAAATTGAGCGTGCTCACCGTACGTGGAAAGGTGATCGTAGAAGCTCTGGTGACAACGCCTCAGCTACGTGTCCGCGTTCGGTTATTTGTCGCTTGGTAAGCTGGAAGCAAAAGGATCCGATTTTGAAGGCTGCACAGGATTGAGAAGCCGGATGGAACTTTTGTCAACGAAGATCTTGCCGTTGAAACTCTTCAAAGGCGTAAAGATCAACTGCCCAAGCTTAAGCAAGCTAAGCAAGCCGTAAAAATTGTCTACTTCGTGCTAGATAAAAGCTAATTTATACAACAGGATAAATTGGAGTTAATGTGATAACCATAACCCGCCCTTACCAGTAGTGGAATCAGCTCACTTCCTTTCAGGGGTCACTTCCTGCATGTGACCCCTGTCACACTAATTGTTTCACTCAGCCAATTAGATGCCAGCTATCACATGTACAGTTGATGCCTTTATTTTCGTGCCTAGCTCAGCAAAATAGCACTTCATATTCTTCTCTTCGTGGAACAAAATCCCATCCCACCCTCCCTTATTACTGCTTGATTCTCTCTGCTGGTTTTCTTAAGGTTTTTATATGAGGTCTTTTCTCTTGTTGAAAAATGTAAGAAGCTGCTTATACTTTTTGCAGTCATACGAACTACTGATCTTTGTTGTTTACACTTTGAATCAATTGGCAATTGTCAAGAAGATATGGCAGAAAAGAGGTGGGGTTTCTACTGAGGGGAATCATCGTACCCGGCATCCTAACATGCTTGTGCACTTAGTTACTTTGGGCCTTATTTTGATTACTAAGTTGATAAAAGTTTAATTGTCATTTACTTACAACTTCTATTAATATATTTTCGTCTAACCTCTCTCCCTCGAGGTTCATGTTAAGTGTCTGGCTCTGCTTTCGGGAGGGTTCAGGTTTTCCTCAAAAATAATTGAGGGTTTTTCCTGACGGGCAGCAGGCACGCAATCCTAGCTTAACTTAGTGATGATATCTGTATTGAGAGTCGTTGGCAATTAATAAACATGGGTTCGGGATGAAGTGCTCCCATACAGGTCACACTTTGCCCCATAGACTCTTGTTACTCCTTAAACCGGGGAATTAGACATCTAGAGAGGTCTTTCCACCTCTCCAGTATCCAAGGGGGATTATCACCTCCACTCAAGACCTTGGGGGATTATCAACCCCTAGAGAGGATTATCACCTGGCTTCTCACTATCCTGGGGGATTATCACCCCCAAGAGAGGATTATCACCTCTCACTATCCTGGGGGATTATCACTCCCTAGAGAGGATTATCACCTCTCCCCTTGTAGATTTCGGACTGTTACACCAATATGTAGAGAAAAGTGACCTGCTGTCCATATTTGGAGTACTTCATCCCTGAACCCTTTTTTTTCCCATAATAATTCTGGTCTAGTTACTTGCTTTATCTAAGGGGTTATGGGTTGGGAGCATTAATTGATAATCAAAGACAGACCCTCAGGCTAGTTGAATTCAGATAAGTTGACTCACAACTTAAAATGTTTATGGTTATTATGAATGAGGTCAATGAGCGTCCTTTTTAAAAGGACGCTCATTAAAATCATCTCTATGATGTATCTTTTAATCTTGCTCTTTATGAATTGGTAGATGGCCCAGTACATTTTAATTATGATAGATCTGAATGTCTTTCCTTTAACCGGGTTGATAATTATAGGTTATTTCACGGTTGGTGAGCGCGTACGATTTTTATTCACAAGTTGTGTAAAACGGGCGACCAGAAAACACTGACCCCCGGTCCATGGGCCCCCTACGAACCTGGTCCATGCACCGCCCCCCTACGGACCGGTCAAATTATGTTATATAATGGTTGATTTTAATTTAGACCTCCTAATTACAGATTTACATTCAGTTACAAATAAGCTCATTAATACGTTATTTTCTCACATGCTTTACCCGCTAATTAAGAAACCGACGCGAATTACTTCGCCACCCTGATTGATAACATTTTTAATAACAATATTTCTGCCTCGAGTGACAATGGTCGCATTATAAATGATCTTTCCGACCAATTACTAATCTTCACGCTTTCTTACACCGAAGCTTATTCTTCTTCAAACAAGTCTAAGGAAAGGGTCGGCATTCGCAACTTCTCTAGTCAGAATATTGACTCCTTCAACAACCTTTTGTGTGAGTTTGATTGGAATTCCTTAACCCATGCTGATGCTAATGCCGCCTACAATGGGTTCCAGCGAAAATACACCGAGTTTTACAACCAAAGCCGTCCTTTAAGTTTCTATCGAGGAAAACGTTTGAAAGCTCTGTGCGTAACTGGGCTTTTGAAATCTATTAAAACCAAATCCAGACTTTACCAATTATTCTTAAAAAATACTTACTCAAGAGCGTGAATCCAACTACAAGAAATTCAAAAATAAATTAACTTGTCTCATTCGTGTAGCCAGGTGAAATTATCATAGCAAAAAATTATATATGGCTAGGTCTAAGTTAAAGCAAGCTTGGACAGTTCTTAATGAAGTGATCAATAGGCGTATTGCTAAAGCACCATATCCTGCAAGCTTCTTCAAAAACGGAGTGAAAATCGGTAATCCTGTTGACATAGCTAATAACTTTTGTGATTACTTTACCAACAAATTTAAAAATCAAATCTCGCCCACAAATTCTTCGTTCTCTCTTTAATCAATTCCGTTGCAAGCACTAACGGTCGACGAATTAAGTAACATTGTTAAATCATTTAGCGTTAACAAGGCCCCTGGACATGATAATGAATCCGTGAAAATAATTCATCAGTCTCTTCAAAATATTGTAGCTCAACCCCTTATATCTATAATTAACCTTTCGTTGACTACTGGTGTGTTTTCTGAATCAGACTCAAAATCAATAAAGTAATTCCGGTCTTTAAGGCAGATGATCCAACACTTTTTGAGTAACTACAGGCCAATATCAATTCTGCCAGCTGTTTCTAAATTTTTTGAGAGAGTCATGTTCAATCGACTGACGGAATTTTTGAACTTGCATAATATCTTATACCCGAAACAATTTGGTTTCCGTAACAATCATTCGACTGGACTAGCGTTATTCGATTTAATTGGTAAAATATCTTCAGCTATCGACAGAAATGAATCAACTTTAATTAGGCATATTCTTAGATCTATCTAAGGCGTTTGATACCATTGATCATAAAACATTGTGCCACAAACTGCAACACTATGGTATTCAGGACACTGCTTTGTCGTGGATCAAAAGCTATCCCGATCTTGAGAATACGATTCAGTTTGTCCAGTTTGGGTCCCATCAATCTTACTATAGGAAAATTTCGGGTGGCGTGCCACAGGTATCAGTCCTTGAGCGTCTTCTGTTCATTATTTACATAAACGATCCTCCTAATGTCTCTAGTCTGACTCAATCTTTGCTGTTTGTTGATGATACAAATAAATTTTGTTCTCATAGGTGTTGTATTTCCGTAATTAATTTGTTTAGAGGACTATAGCTCGACTTACAGCTTAAGAGCCAGTGTCTGTAATTTTCGAGGATCGGTTGACAGTCGTGAATTTTTGAATTTCTTCATATTTTGCCCAAATAATCTCTATAGTACACTAATTTCAAAAATCACGTTAAAACTTGTAACAGCTTTATATTTTTTCAGGAATCAGGCAAAGATTGAAAAACTCTAAATCCAGCGCTCTTTCGAGTATGAAATTAGCGAAAATTGAGCATTTTCTTCGCGCTCGTACATAAAAACGGAATAATATCTCCAGATGAAATCAAGTCACAAAACAGACACACATTTTTACTTTATAATTCAGCAGTTAAGGTATCTCTCAATTTGACTAAAACGAATTTTATGATTTTTCATCCGAGGCAAAAAAATGTTCCTTTTTTATGGAAAATACTTTAATCAAGCAAGTCGTGGAAACCAAATTCTTAGGTATTATCATTGATCAGCACCTTTCCTGGAAATCTCATTTTAGTTTTATTTCTAAAAAGATCTTGAAAACTGTGGGGATTATTGCAAAAGCTCGCTATTATCTTTCATCCAAATCGTTGCTGACCTTATATTACTGTCTAGTATATCCCTACCTAACATACTGTAATGTTGCCTGGTCCTCCACCTATTGCTTTAACCTAAACTGTATTTACCTTTTGCAAAAGCGCATAGTGCGGCTTATATCAAAAGCTGGCTATTGAGCAAATATTGCCCCATTATTTAGCAAACTTAAGTTCTTGACATATATAGCATTAATTCTTCTTCTGTTGCTACCTTTATGTATTCCTATCACCATAATCTTTTGCCTAGTAGTTTTCGTAACTTCTTTTTTAGTAGTAACCAGGTTCACCATTGTGAAACCCGACTAGCTTCTCAGTGTAGCCCCCATTTTTGTAGAACTAATATTAATCAGTTCAGTATCCTTTATCGAGGACCAACAATCTGGAATTCTTCGCCAGTTACACTTACAGGCTCCTCTTCCATATATTTGTTTAAAAAAAAAATCTGAAAAATTGTCTCATTGATAGTCGTTCTGTCGCTTTAAAAGTTTTATGTTTTCTGCACACTCTGCAATCAAGTAACGGTGTCGGTATTTAAAAGGGAAATTATTAATCAGTCTGTGTTTACACGGTTAAAATATTAGTAATTGCTTTTTTTGCGCAATATCAGAAATGCAGTAAGTATTTTAGCAGTTTTACAGGCTGGTAATTTTTTATATCCTACAACATGGATGCAAATTTATCAGTTGACTGATGGTTTGAACAGTTTGATTTGATATTTTGTTCACCATTAGTAAGCTGCCAAATTTGCATCCATGCTGAAGGATACATGCTACTAAATGTGTGCAACGGACGATAGCTTTGTATCAGTACAAAGTGTGTAACCTATTCCCATTTTATGTAATCAAGTTTTGTGAGGTAGTTATCCTCAAACTGTGTGATCGAAATCAGGTATTCTCTTTTTTCTCGCGACATGCGCAACCTACTTTAGGATTATGACTCCCTTCTTTACAATGTGGGTGAATAAATATTCTGCTAAGGACTCTGTCTATTTGGTTTTTGCTACATAGTAACGCTCTGCCCTTTTCATTACACCTGGCCGAATCTGTTGTAAGGGAAATCCAGAAAACTAAGCGCACTGTAATCAGTGTTCATTTTTTTATCTTGTAGTAGCGAGCCTCAGATTTAGTTTAGTGTCTTTGGGTGTTTATTTTGTATTTTCTGCAGCAGCCCTTCATTTCTTGGTTAGATTAATAGTAGATTAATCACTCTGTAGTCTAAAGGCGTTTATATTCCCTCCTTGCATTTCTTTTGTGAGAACAACCCAGAACCTTGAACAGTTTGTTTTCGTCCATTGGCAAATGAAGACCTCTGTTTCTATAACGAAAATCATGGGATCCTGTACGTCTGAAAATAATTGCAGTGGTCAATGAAGGCGCATAAGTACTTCACATATGTACGACATTAATGGACTTGCCAGACCTAGCTTCTGACGGCTTACCACTTTTTGCGGAACCTACGTAGTTTTCTCTTCGGACGAGCGTGAATTATGCTCTGCGTGGGAAATTTCCATTACTCCATATACTCTTAAAAGATATTTTTACGTACGCATTGTTTTGGCTACCCGGAGTTAATCTTTCCCTTAAAAACCAGCTTCACTATTATTTTATTTCGTTTTTCTTGAAATAAACGTTTGCTGGAACCAAAGTTCTTATGCTCTGAATGTTCTGTTAATCTTTATACTTTTTGGGAAGGTAACAACACTTTCCCTTAAATGAAAACGCATTTCCCTCTTATCAAATTCATAGGCATTGGAGCTTAACCTACTCAACAACTCTGCATTGTTGCTTTTGTTGTGCATCGTAAAGAACTAGTAAAATTATCCTCCCCTCCGTTGCAATTCACTTTTAACAAGAAGAAAATGAAAAGCTTCAAGAAAGTGAAACTTGTATATTTGAGGATGTTGGTACGTTAACGAAAATTAATGTATAGGTAACCGTAAAAGCCAAAGCATTATCTTGCTGGATTTTTGAAAACGTACCGAAACGAAAATCCTCCTACGGAGGAACAAGGAAAGGGAAAATAGAAAGAGAGAGGAGAAGGAAAGGAAGAGAAGTAAAAAAAAAAGCAATGGCTGCACCCTTAGTTTTTAATTTGTGTTTACTTCTTTGGAGATAGTTTTGAAAGAAAAAAAAACTGTTTGAGGGGAGAGCTCTATTTTGGCTGTAATGTCAAGAAACGGCTTTCATTTTTCAGATTTAAAGCCTTACGACTAAATTTGTCGTAGTTTTACAGCCAACAATTCACTTTATTACTCTTGGGATTCCTTGAGTGGCGCATGGGCTTCCTGTGCAGAAGCCCAACCTGTTTAATATTTATCCTTTTCGGAAAAAAACATAAACACTTCGTTTTTATCACCGAAACCTAGGTAGCAGTTATTCTTTCTTCTTTCACTTTCCTATAAAAGTAACAAACCCATTTTGTACATTTTTTGTTTGAACTTATAATTTCAAATAACGTGGGTGCCTTCTGTTAAAAGCTCAAAATGTTTAAGGCTTAATTTTGACATGTTCGACCAAACGGATTTGGGGGGATTTTTAGTATGTTGCTAGATAGGCCACTCTTACTTAAATGGCGTTGAAAACAATTCTGTTGCAATTAGTTTAATGTTAAGCCTCTAAAATGCCCAGATTGACTGGACTGCAATGTGGGTGACTAAAAAACAAAGAAATGAAATGAACAATGAATGAGACAAGGCTAACGGCTTCACGTAACCGTTCAATTACGAAATCACGTGAACTGAGACAAGGTTTTAGCTCTTACCAGTTAGTTAAAAGACCCTAGGTGGTGGTTCCGGGTGTTTCAACTCACGACCTCCCGCTCAGCAGACCTGCCCTCCGCCCATCTGTGTCAACCAGGCGGCAAATGAGCTATTGATGGCTGGGATTCGAGCGGCCTATATCCGCAATAACGAGGCATAACATGGTTTATCCCATGCTAATTATTTCGCGACTTGAACCAATTTTACCATCTTTTTTTTCGATTCAAGGAGCGCCAGGCTTTCTGCTATCACAAGCTGTAGTAACCAATGCTTATTAGACATGAGTGATTATGTTCATTAAATTTATTGTTTTCTTTTTACAGAAATAGACCTTGCCTTTGTTATAAACGCAACTTCTGATGTCGCAGATGAAGCCTTCAAATTGATGAAACGCACTATAATATACTTAATGTGCAAGTTCAAGCACCATCAAGTAAAGTACCATATTTTAGTTCATGGAGAAGATTCATCTTCGAGGGAAATTTGTTTTACTAACGAGCCTTGTGACTTCACATCATTGTTTGACAAAGTGGATCAGCTAACAAGGAACGCCGAAGTCAATATCCCCGCTCTTCACGAAAATCTAAACAAAGTAGGGGAAGCTTTCACAGTTAGCAAGGGTAAAAGGCCAAACTCAGAAAAGGTACGTACCAATTAGCAAAACAAAATGTACTAATACTATTTTCTTTAGTTTAGTCAGTTGTCCTGTTGAAACGAGGTCTGGAAGGGTTTTCCTGGGATCCGGAATTCAATCTTGGTCAAGGAGACTAAAATACTGACAATGGGGGACTCGGGAAATTTTTTACGGGATACGGTGTTTGACTGCTACCCTGGAAGTGGGATGGTCACAGATGCGGGATTGAGAAAGAAAGCGATATTCGGGGTAGCGATGATGACAGAAGTTCGGGATGCGGGAATCTCGTAAAAAAGGAGCTGGAATGCGTTATCAAGACCCCTTTTCCAAACTCCTTAAAGAGCCTTCTTCAGTCTAAGTCAGACATGACTGCTAAAGACCCTCCACTTTGCCATTTCATTTAAAGCTAATTAATGTCAAACTATGCATATTGTTTATGCAGGCTCTAGTATTGTTAACAGACCATAAGATTTGTCCACGGTATCTCAAGGAACACGTCAAGGAAGAAGTCAAGAAAGTCAAAGAAATGGGAGTTAATATTCTGCCAGTGGGAATGGGCCCGCACATCGACATCCGGGAATTAGAGGGGATTAACAGAGACGGGCACAAGATCATGCACTTTGTAGAATACGCAAATCCGAAAACCGTTGGCAAGAGCATTTTTAACGGTATGTTTATTGTAGATGCTGGTTTTTGCATTAAAACCAAGATCGCTACGTGCGCTGAAGAAAGTATAGGACGATTTAAGCAAAATACTGAAGTCATGGAGTGAACGAGCCGTGAATTAAAGCGCGTTTTTATTTTTTTTCCTCAGCGCTCCAGGGAAAGGATTTAGTTGGTAAGTGCGATTCATGAAATTTCGATTATCAATAAATCAGCATGTTTGATTTTATTTAATCCAAGTCAGCTTTTAAAAATCATATAACGGACACCATATTACTGCGGCAACCCTTCATTTCAGTTGATACAATAATCATTGAGCAATGAGTGGATTCCCGAGTTCGGATGGTCAGGAAATATCAGTTCTAAAACGACTCGGGCCATCGAGACGATCTAGAAAAAAAGGCTTGAAGGCATGTTTGTAATATAAACTGTAAATCCTTTCGGTGGGTGTTTTGTATTATACCCAGGTGATTGCTTAAGTTAAACCAGGTTATTAAGAGTCCTCCTGTATGAAGCGACCTCCTTCTGTGTAGCGGCCATTTACCACAGTGTTTTGGTGATTTGCGAGCTTAGAATGGCAGCTTTTATCAAACAGAAGGCTTGTTCCAGTGACAAGTATTGAGTGAATCTAACACAACAGAAAAAATGACGGCCCTTCTTTAATTTTTCGGTTCGCAGAAAGTTACCGGGAATACTTTACAACTCCATACTTCGTGTACATTCGTGACACGCTTAGCTACCTCACACTGCTTGGTTTACACATTGCCCTTTGTCTTGATACATCAAGCATCCCGTTCAGCGGTCTAGAGTGGGCAATTTTGGTGTTCTTCTTGGGAAGGATCTTGATGGAGAGTCGGCAGTTCTTGGATGTCAAAATACAGCGAAAGAGTCAATCTGTAACAAGGACATCATGGGGATCAAAGTACCAAATCTGTGGTGAAACGGAAGAAGAAAAAAGGATGAGCTCAACGAAAGCAGCCACTCTTCTAAAAGGATGCAACAAATACTTAAGGTACCAAGAAACGCACAGTGCCTTTTGCGTTATAATAATAATAATAATAATAATAATAATAATAATAATAATAATAATAATAATAATAATAATAATAATAATCATGATAACAATAATACAGAAAGCTTATTGAGTCACACTGGAAGGAGAGAAATGGCAAGGAAAACTGACTTAAAACAGATGGGAGGACTCGGTTCTTGACAGTGGACAGTGTTTAGCATTGATGAATAGCTGGAGATCGGCGTCAACCCATACCGTGGCAGCTATGCAGGAATTGTACCAACAGATGTTCCCAAACAAATTATACCACCAAAGGAAAACTGGAAAAGGGAGTGTAACTTCAAATTTCATGTGCCGAATGTGTGGCAAATCGCTCGAAAGTGTGTCGTACGTACTGGCGGGGTTTGGGTAGAGCCAACAGAATCGACGCCAGAATAGTTGACAAAGAGTAGAAACGAGTGTTAGCCATTGAAATGAGCTGTCCTTGGTTGGATAACAGCAAAGTGGAAGAGATGGAGTAGACACAGAAAAATATGGTCCAATAATGTAGAAATTGAGAGGGAAAAATCCTGGCTACCAAGTGAAACAGTATAACATCATTATTGATGTTCTGGGAGGATATTAAGCTGGTGTAAGTCAAGCAGTGAAGGAACTTGTTTGAGAGAAGAGTGCCACTATCTTACAAAGAATGCAGAGATCTGTCAAATCAATTAAACGAAAAATTGCTCGTAGTTTCAAAATTCTGGCTTAAACAAAGAGGATTATTGCTAAAGTGTACTTTTTTTAGGAAAAAAATTTATTATTGTACATTGACATTTTTATTAAAACTTTTAGTAAGATTTTGCGATATAGATTTTAAGTTAGGTAGAATGGTGGACAAAATTTTAGGACACACGGAAACATTTTTATGTTTTATTTTTACTTTACTTCAATATTTTTCACTTTAGAAAGACTTCACGGCGCGGTGGTTGGTTAGGGTCAGAAGTCCAACTTCTGTGTTTTTTACTGGGCGTCTGAACATGTTAAACTGCCATAATAATGATGGTTTAATAAGCTAATGCTAATGATAATAATAATAATAATAATAATAATAATAATAATGATTCACTGGCAAAAGATTTCTTTAACGTTATTTACATAAAAATGATCAGTAGCGCTTTACACTAATTCACTTAAAAAAATCTATTCTATATATGAGTCATTTTTTCCAGTTTTTTGAGGTCAAATAATGCTATTCTGGAATTTCCATCCTGACGTTGGATGTTGGTTGATGTGCTAAAATACAATACAAATATACAATGTAAACTGTGAAATGTAAAATACAATTGAATGAAAAATGAATAAATAAATAAATAACAAATAAAAATAATTATAGTATAGTATAATAAGATCAGATCAGATTTGCTTTAAAAAAGGGTCCAAATAAAAACCATACTTCTAGTCTAATCTGTCCGAACGTATTGAACTTTTACTTTTTGCCTTTTTGTCGGTGCTTCGCAGTGTTCTCAAACTGCAAGTTGCCAGAGCGACTCAAAAACAACAAAAATCTCTCAGTTGTGTCTCCTAAAGTTTTGCGTTGAAATAAACACTCTGCTGAAGATAAGTCGTATCGTTTGCATTTGGCTCAAAGCGAAGGACACGTTTTACCAATTTCCATTTATGGTAGTCTCACCAAGTTGGAAATTGCTTTTATGTACCGCTGTTTTCTTATTTCGCTGCAAGTGTCATAATTAAATCAAGATTTACACTGTAGGAAAAAGGCATGGTATTAAAGTTGCAACAGTTCTTCCCCAAGCTGAGTCACTCTAAACAATTGAGCAACCTTTTCAGCTTGGCAGTTTGTTACATTTTTTGTATGTGAATGCATGTTCTGTAAACTTTACTAGTAATAACGGCTTGGAAACTAAAATTTCGAGGACATTTTTGGACTTTTTACATTTAGGGCATGAATTTTTCGTCATTTCAGGCCATGGAACCTAAAAATGAGCCTAGCTAGCTGTAAAAGGGGGCAATACGGAGGCAATACGTCCTAACCGGCATGATCACATGCTGTTTACGGAAAATTCCCTCATCCATGTCAGGAAATTCTGTATTTTAAAGCCTCCCCTAGGGCATGACTCAGCAATTGAGGACATTTCTGCTACGTTTTCAATGTTGGTTAGCATGCAAGGATTTTTCCCATGCCTATCGTCAATGATTTGCTCACTGGTAATAGAGGGGGTGGCCCCAGAGTGGTTTTGCATTGAAATTGGCATGCAACAGAATTTCGCATGCCCTGTAAGCATAATTTGAGGTTCTGTGACCTTCTCACCCAGGCCGCGAGAAGCCTAGGTTCTAGTAATAAGTAATTCATACCCAGCAAAATCCCCGGCATGCCGGGCATGCCAAATTTTCTGACATGCCCGGCATGCTAAATTCTCTGGAATGCCGGGCGTGCCATAATCTGGGTCATGCCGGGCATGCCAAAATCGGTCTCTGGCATGTTTCAACGCACAGGTTATAATTCCTTGAATCTACAGATATTTTAAGCCTGGCTAAAAAAAAAAAATAAACAGATCACAGTGCTTATCTTTTGATGTACGGTTACACGATGACGTCATTGCTATTCCTTTCATTTTCATAGATTTGGTTGTCCCAGCGAAGTTTAAATAACAAAAGCTCTAATTTTCACAAGAAAGTAAAACCCTGAGGGATTCTGCCGAAGTAATAAAACAGCGTCATCGTGGAGATGACCTGTTGGGGGATTGTAAAAACTCCTCACCCCTTTTAATGAGTCTTTAATAGGATTCCCATTTCACATTGCGAATAAAATGGAATTGACTGAAATCAGTAAAAAGAGAGACAGAGACTATTTTCATTGTATAATAAAATGCATCTATGTTCCATGAAAGCTTTTAAAAATACAAGGTTATAGAATATCTTTCAAAGTTCATTACAAACTGAGCTAAGCCCCAAAATCACTGTTCATTATTCAGTAAATTATGATGTTTGACAATGCAATGTGCTTGAATATAACGTTGCAATTACAAATCTCTCGAACGCAATTTTCCCTACGTTAGAAAAGCTCTTTTTATCTTGTTTCACATTTTGATAAGGAGTCTGAGTTCCTCTTTCTTGTTTTGTAGGCTTGCCAGGGATTAATGTTTTTTTGTCATTACCAGTGTCTGTGTTCTTCGTTTTTAACTCAAAGTAAGTCAGTAATAACTGACGGTATCAAAGGATTGCTCTCTAGAAAAGTAATTATCTCCTCGTCATGTCTGGAAGTTACCTGTAACAAAAAAGAAATGGAATCTTAACACATGCAAGGGCAATATGAAAAAAAGAAATAGAACATGTAGAGCTCAGCTTCTCTTAACATATTTTCATACTGGCTTGTTGAGTCTGTTAAAGGTCGCAACTAATTGTCTGAGGCTAATTTCACAAGAGTGTGCAATTGAGATAAATACATGGTAAATAAAGTGAAAGAAACGTGGTTTCACATTAGCCAATTTACATTGCGCTGTTCGATGATGTTTACACGCTTTTCTACTGCGAAATAAACCTTTGCATTTGGATTTGCAAGTCAAGATTATACCGAGTTTGACTGACACTTAATTGAACAACAGTTTCATTTTTAAGCAGGCAATTGGGGTGTAGACCCATATAAAGCCGGAATATGTAAAGGAAACTCAGCGAAAACTTTTTCGCATCTTTTTGTGGCGATATTCTTTCACGGCCCGTCAACTGATTAGGGGTTGCGAAGAAAAAATAAATTAGGACCAAAGGTTAAAGCCTGTCCGGTTACATCATTTCGTATGTTACCTAGAGTTCTAATAAATAGGTCATAAAATAGGATTTAACGAGAGCGAATTTGTTTCTCAATCGGTGTATAAAAAAGTGAGGCTATCAAATGAGAAGTTTATAGAGTATCAAAATTATTAAATTAAAAGCTCATTTAATTAGGAAAATTCCTATACGAAAACAATGCTAGTGACATTAAATTGATCAGATAAAATTCTCAGAAAATATGTCCAATAAAAGCCTCATTATTTGCTTTTGTTTTTGCGTAAAGGTAAATTTTTCGGCCCACAAAGCAAAGTTGAAAAAGCGACTAAATCTTAGTTTTTTACATTGAACATGTTTATTAGCTTAGTTTTCGTCCGTTTTAAAAGCTTTATAACCCAATCATAATTTTCGGGTTAAAATATTACAAAATCATTTCAAAAACCATGTTCATTTAAAGTAGAGCCGGCAAACCTGAACATTTTGTAATTCAAAAGTCGGACCCAGCCAGGTTGTTTAAGCTTAGAATTATTTGCATTTTAGCGTCCTATAAATTTACCAGAATCGCCTCTCAGAGGCTTACTGTAGCAAAGCATTTTGTAGTACACTCGTAGACAAGCAATGTAAGCCTTAAGTCTTTGCTTGGATGAGATGTCCAAAAGAAAAATTAGTTTTGTGGACCTAAACGCACATTCACAGACTGCTTATATTGAGTTGTTTACAACTTTGCATTGACACGCGCAGCATGTTCATTTTTTTAAAGCGAAATCCAAATCTGATTTTGGCATTTGATTTACGGATATTTTATTTTGTCTCCAAAAGTGATTGTAATATCCGTTTGATTGTCTTTCAAACAACAGTCAAACTATGCAGCAAAAATAAGTAACTTTACCAGTACAGTGGAAAAATATGACCGTAGGTGCCAAAAATAATTATACTCGAGCTATAAAATTAGAACTGACTTTTTTTAGCTTTGGTTTCTTATTTTTGAAGTTTTCTCTAGTCTTCTTAGCAGCAGAAGAAGATTACAAGACATACAAACAGAAACAATCCGAAGTGAACAAGTTGACAACCACTTATGCCGGAGTTCTTAGGCATGCTCAACAGCAAGATAAACTGAATGCCAAAAGGATAATTCACGGGATTTGTTCGATATTCAGGCTTTTTCTTTACCAAATTAATACTAAATTTGTACTTACAGTCTCTCGCAGAATCCATTTCTTGTCCAGCATTCACCAACATCTCAACCATGCACCGCAGAAAAAAAAGACAAACAAGTGCGAAGAGACATGACGACATCGTGACGCCACAACTGCCACGCTACAACAAACTAGATTCCTCGTCATCCGCGAAAACACTTCTGCGGAAATTCGGCCGATTTCGTGCGTGCTCGGGGTATCTTCGGATGACGCAGATGACGTTGCTCAAAGGACTATCGTCAGCAAGGAGTAAAACAGTTTGCGAGATTCGCATAGCCGACAAGGAGCGCACTGAAAAACTAAGCAAAATCTCTCTGAGAAGGCAGTCCAAATTCACCAAATCAGAACGTCTTTGCAGTATTAACGTCGTACTCTCGTACTGACTTGAACGACCTGGTAAGCTTCATTTTCACCAGTCTTTTAATGCTGTTGACCGGGAAACATTCCGACACGATAAAACTTAAGCATGGATAAGTTTATACTGAGAAGATTTGTTATCTTATTGTTTAAGACGCTTTTCCGCGATCAAATTTAAATGTGGACCCAGAAATGTCAGTATCGGTTTGAAATAAAAGGATTAATCTTTGATTGCAAGTTAAGTATTCTATTTTATGTATGAATAATGTTGTTTTGTTGTGCTTTTTATTTATAAATCCAGGCTTCTGTCTTCAGTTTTGCCAGTCGATCCCGTGACACACATTGTGACAAACATGACTTTTTTTGTTATAATCTGCATTTATTGCCAGGCATGAAACCTGTAACTTCAAGCTCCCTAAGATATATTTGGCGATTATATGTGATTCTCAGGATATGATGCTGAAGCGAACATCAAAATCAGTCTCGCTGGGCATGCCAATTTCTTGCCTGGCATGCCGGGCATGCCAAACCAACTGGCTTCACCATCGGCATGCCCGGCATGCCAAACCAGAGGAGCTAAAACTGGGAATGAATTATTAACCCGGCGAGAGATCTGGGACCTAAGTTTAGCTGGGTCAATTTTGGGCTGCGAGGGCATGAACCCATTTTTTCCATGCCTATGAGATGTTATTTCTAAGTACCAATGTTCCCTTGAATTTTGTCATGCCTAAATATATAAAATTTTCCCTCTCTCATTAATCCTCAGACTGGATGCGATTTTTACGCTCGGTAGGCATGTTCAACTGAAAATTATGCCCATACCCTTATTCAAAACAAAATGCTATCAAATTTTAGTTTCCAAGCCGTTTAATAGTCAAAGTTTACAGAGTGCGTTCTACCAGTCTATATCTCAGGCCCTCTCTTGTTTGTCAAGTTAGGGATGATGTCGATGTCATTTGCCCCTGCAAAATCTGCGACGGTGCTAGATATGTTTGCTAAGATCCGGCCAATCCCATGATTAAAACAAAACGAAAGAGAAGCGTAGTTGACGTAGAAGAAATGATTCAATTTATATTCTATAAACAAAATTATTAGTCGAGCTTACTTAGCAACGAGACTCTAAAAATTGAACCGGGGATCATGGTCGCAGCCGTTCCTAGCGGAGACCGTGGAAACTGGGGATAAGAATCGCGACGTGACCGACAACATATTCAGAGCGCCATACATGTTTTGGGAAGAAAGCTTAGGAAAGATTAATGCGAGATTAATGTCGTGTTTGCTGGAACGAGTCGATCCACGAATTCAATCCCTTGAAAGCGTTGATCAGTTTGGAACAAGTAAATACTTCGGTGGTCGAAAGAAAAAAGAATCTTTTTAGCAAATCTTCGATTGTGAGCCTAACTGGTCGGGTGTTGTTAACTTTCATTGCATGCAAATGAGTCTTTTGTTCAGCAGGCGGTTAATTTTCGGCGATGATTGAAATGACAGGCCACGTTCATCACATTTTTGCTCTCTGGCATTGATGTAATTTCTCACGAATCGAGGCGCTTGATTTTCGTGCGTTTACACACGCGTCAATCAATTCAGTAACAAATCGAATAAGACATAAAAAGTAAATATCCTGTAGACTACTCGACCGTCGATAAAAAAAAAGAAAACTTTTATCGAGGAATCCTGTTTCTTGTAGAAGTAATCACCTCTTCATTTGTTATCTAATCTCCAAGCAAGCTTAGAGCATCTTGTTTTACTTTGTTTTAGGGATCGATGGAACATTCTGGATTGCATTACCCTTCTGAACTACTTGGTGACCTTTGTACTCAGAGTAGTCACGTGGACCTTGTCAGAATCTGTCACCGACAATCGAGCTCTCGTTGTTTCTGGTTATCTGTATGGCCTTAATACCATGTTCCTTACACTTCGAGCCTTTGGTCACGTGATGGAGACAGGCGAGGGGATTGGCACCATTCAGATCGCTTTCTTTCAAATCATGGCTGACTTGGTAACGGTATTCTGGCAGTTTATTGCCATCATTTTGGCGTTTTCTATCGCTATTACCAAGGTGTACATGGCAGAGAGATCATTCATCTCTGACAACAATGGCACAAAATCGTAAGTTGATTACACATTTAGCGTGGTAGTCAGTTAATGCCTTTGGCTCAAGAATAAAGTTGCGTTTCTTTTGGGAAAAAGTTTCGATCTGAATTTTTTTCTGTTTTGTGATGCGTTATTGTTGGTAGATGATTATGCTATTATATACGACGAAGGCTGCTTTGTCTGTTTGAAGAAATGTTTTATTGAAAAATTCATTTAAATGAAGGTCACAAATCTGGAATCATTAATTTTATACAAAAAAACAATACTTATGATTAACGAAAGGCAACGTCTAATCAACGAACTGCTTGTTTTTTTTATGCTATCTTGTTTTTGTTACTGGCAAGACGCCTTTTTCAACAACTGCCCGAAGAGTAAATTTATTTAAGATCTGTTTGATAACCATCTTTTTTCATGCTGCTCATTTCAATACGATTAGTGACATTAACAACAGGAAAAATGTTTGAGATAAAAAATTGCTAACTAGTTTTGCCCTTTTCCACATGTGTAGTGCCTGCAAATCATCCAGTGGATTGGTTTGGTAAGTTAATTTCTTTTGTGTATTGGCGAATCTTTGTTTACATTTTTTTTCCTCATTAACATATGCATATCATTTTCTTATCAAGCTATTAAAGGGTTCACTGACGAAAAATGTCTGATTGGTCGATACCAGTCCACGTGACTAAACATTAAATATAACCTCAGGTTTAAAATGAAAAGTTCGATCGATCAAAATCGTGTCGAATTTTAAGAAGCATCAAAAGTGGGACATACTCTTTACAAAATTGCCGCTTCCGTGCCACTAGGTACAAGTTAATTTATACGCCGAAACAAAATCAAAGAATATTGCTATCCCTGCTTTATAATTTTCCGTTGCACCGAGAGGCACGAAACTTAAACCAAGCGCAGACCTTTCCTATGAACGGTGTATGCGAACTCAGATTTAGCAGTGAGAATATTTGTTTTGATTCAACGAAAATGCACCCGAAACGGTAACAAAGCTACCACTTTCCTGCAACTAGGTGCAAGATAAATAAAATTTATCCCTCTGCTTTTTAATTTTCTGTTGTGTAGTGCTATTTTGCGTTAAATTTGAACTACCCATAAAGATTCAAAGGTGATTAAACGTTTACAGTGTGTGCAGAGCGAATGACAGTCAAGTTGTAGAACACAATCGTGTCGAAAAGGGTCTATGAGTTTTACAAAACTGCCGCTTCCGTTCAACTCGGTACATGCTTATTCATATACCAAAACAAAGCCCCAATATTTTTCTTTCACTGCCATATAATTTATTGGTGTACCGAGTTGCACGAGACTTGCACTAAAAATAAAAGGGGAAAATTACCCACCTTTTTTAGCATATCCTCTCTTCGCATCCAGCGATCGCAACGCTGATCTTTTTTATCGCTCACAGTGGCAACAAAACCAGAACACTACAACTGACAAAAAAAAGCTGCCATTTCTTCTTTCATCTTGACAACGTTTCGTGGGGATTTGGCCTCTAAGCCAAAGACTTTGCAGAAATCGACCACGCGATTTTTTGCGGCGCATGCAAAGACATTTTTCGCCAGTGAAATTAAAGGGGCTACGTCGGCTGGAGAGCAAATTATGTTACTTTCAACTGTCAAAATTCACTTGTTGTTGCATATTCTTTAACGGAGGCTTCCGAGCTGGTTGGTGACGATCCATAGAATTGTAAAGCAAGCTGCCAATGTGCGCTTTGATTATTACACCTTTTTCAGCTTTCTTCCCTTTGCAGGTGATCTTGTGATAAGAAAGGTACAATGATAGCTCGTTCACCCTCAAGGACGACAGCTTGTCGGAGTTGTACAGTCCAAACCAGTCAATGTCATTGAACTCCCGGTTCAGCTGTTCCATCCGCGCCCTTTCATTCTCCCATCTTCTTCTCTTTGCGCATTTTTATCTGGGCAAGTTGCTCAACATGCTCTGCCACAAGCTTTTCGGGGACAATGTACTTATCTGAAAACTCTCTAATGGCCTCATTGTCCCCACTGACTAATATACTTTCTTCAAACAATCGCTTAATATGAGCTCGAGGCTGGAAGTCGCGTGGCTCACGGTCATCTGTGAGGGTTTCACTCCAAGAGAGATAATGAAAATTTAGTAGCTTGCTATAGTCGGGATATGGTCGTCGAGGTGGAAGTGGAGCACCATTAGTCTCATCCTTCTCGCAAAATTTACATTGGCCATTTCGCTCTTAACACGACGTTCGCCTGTACTCTATATACAGCTCTCCTTTCTCACAATGTCAAATTGTTCCAGCTTTGACACTAATACTCCAGGAACTGGGAGGCCACGAATCTTTTCGCCAAAAAATTTAAAAAATACCCCGGCCTACGTACCCCCCCCCTCCGCCCCTCATCTCATCTGAGTTTTCTAAATGAAACATTGTCATTCCTAAGCAAACTCTCAAGTGTGTTGCAGAGTATCCCCCCCCCCCCCCCGCCCCTCATCTCATCTGAGTTTTCTAAATGAAACATTGTCATTCCTAAGCAAACTCTCAAGTGTGTTGCAGAGTATCGACCGAATTATTCGGAGGCTCATCTTGTTCCGTCTAGTTTGTTTTTTTGATGAGTTCTCTGTCTATCTTGAAAACATTATAATGTGCCTTGACATTCTGCTTATTACTGGTGATTTTAATTTCCCTCTTGAAAAAGTTTTCAGACCTGCTAGAAACCTTTGGACTTTCTCACCATGTTATGGTACCAACCCACACATGTGGCCATACTTTAGATCTAATTATTTCCAGATCATCTCATGATATAATTTTTGCCTCTCCTCGAACTACTGTGCTTTTCTTGGATCATTTATTTGTCGAGTGCGAGCTCAAAATTTCCAATCCTAATTTGTCTGTTACTGAGGTTCGTTTTCGCAAGTTGAAACAAATTGATGTCAATGCTTTTAAGGAGGACATTATGTCATCTGGGCTCTGCGGTAGAGCCTTGTCTTGTGTCGATAACCTAGCAAGGAGTTACGAGGTTTTTTTAATTTAATCTTCTTGATGTGCATACTCCATTGAAGTCAAGAGTGATGAATGTAAGACCAAAAGTACTATGGTTCAATGATTGCTTGAAAAAACTCAAGGCCACACGCAGGAAATTGGAAAGAAAAATGTTAAAAACCCACCTTGAATTTTTATAAGGATGCCTTCAAAACTGTGCGTAACAAGTTCTCTGCTCTTCTTAATGCTTCAAGGTTCACGTATTATTCTGAGGTCATTGGAGCTGTACGGGAAACTCTAAAAGACTTTTCAGTGTTGTAAATTCTCTGTGCAAGGAACGTCAGGACAATGCACTTCCTCCTCATGAGCATCTTCTTCAATTGGCTAATGAGTTTGGGGAATTTTTCTGCAAGAAGATTGAAATGATCAAAGCTGACATTGACAACATTGATGTGAAGTATATGAAATAATTCATTTTTGAACTGCGGTTGTAGATAAGAGTGAAGAACGATCATCGCATTAAATTTGCCAATTTAAGCAATTGGAAAAAAGAAGCCTGAAAAAAAATTGATAAAAAATAATAAAAATGAATTCAGGGCTTCAACGGGATTCGAAGCCGTGACCTCCGCGTTACCGGTGCGCTGCTCTACCAACTGAGCTATGAAGCCACACATTGGGGAGCGAGGTCAATTTATTGAGTTCATATCTCCCGTGAGGAGTGAAATGATGTGAAGTATATGAAATATTTCATTTTTGAACTGCGGTTGTAGATGAGAGTGTAGAATGATCATCGCAGTAAATTTTCCAATTTAAGCAATTGGAAAGAAGAAGCCTAAAAAAAAAAATAATAATAAAGAATAATAATAATAAAAATCAGGCCTTCAACGGGATTAGAACCCGTGACCTCCGCGTTACCGGTGCGTTGCTCTACCAACTGAGCTATGAAGCCACACTGGGAGCGAGGTCAATTTACTGAGTTCATATCTCCCGTTAGGAGTGAAATGATGTGAAGTATATGAAATAATTCATTTTTGAACTGCGGTTGTAGATGAGAGTGAAGAATTGACAACATTGTAGTTGATAGTCATCATGTTGAATTCCCCTTACCTGAGACTAGGCTGGACAGTTTCTCTCCACTCTGAGAAGTTGGTGTACGTAAAATTATATTTTTGGTTCGTGGAATGCTACATGCAGTCTTGATCCTATTCCTACTTGGCTTGTGAAACAGTCTGTTGATGTGCTTACTCCAGTTATTACATTGATGGTAAAATGATCTTTTCGGGAAAGACGGATCCCTGACTGCTTAAAAAGCGCTATTGTCATTCCTGTGCTTAAAAAGGCTGGCCTTGATTTGAATTTTAACAACTTTAGACCTGTTAGTAATCTTCCCTTGGTGCCCAAGTCGTTGGACAGGCAATGATTGGTCAACTGCTTGCTCATTGTGAAATTAATGCGCCACTACCTGTGAATCAGTCGTTCTATCGCACTTTCCATTCACCTAAGACCTCTCTGGTTTAGGTCCAAACTGACCTTCTTATGCCTATGGACCGACAGGAAGTTTCTATTCTCGTCTTATTATATCTGAGCACAGCGTTTTACACCATAGACCATAGAACTTTGCTAAATATTCTTGAGAATGACTATGGTATAGTTGGTGATGCCCAAAAGTGGTTTGAGTCGTACTTATCGGCCAGGAAACAACAAATAGTCATTAATCAGCAGCTGTATAAGCCCTTTGATCTGGATTGTGGCGTTCCTCAGGGCAGTTTTTGAGGTCATGTTCTTTTTCTCCTGTATGCTTCTGGACTGTTTAAAGTTACGGCAAAGCATCTCCCTGAAGCATATGCGTATGCGGAGGACTCGCAATTATATTCTCCTTTTAAACCAGACTCGTCTAACTCTCAGAGGGAAGCTATCAAAGCGATTGAGGAATGTATTGCAGAGGTTCTCATTTGGATGGGCTCTCATCGGCTATTAATGATACGAAGACTGAATTAGTTATCATCGGCTCTTACCAACAGTTATTCAAGGTTTCCATGCATTGAGTCGATTGCTGTCGGTCTGTTAATAAACCTGTGGAGTGTGTCCGTAATCTGGGTGCATGGTTTGACAATCATATGTTTATGGGTACTCATGTTGTCAAAGTTTGAAGTAAAGCTTTTCGTGGCCAATATTCCATCAGGCAAATAAGAAAGTTTCTTTGTGAAGAATCAGCTAAGACTTCGTCACGTCGCATCTTGACTATTGCAATTCTCTTCTATATGGCATACCTAATTTTCAGTGCAACAAGTTACAGAACATCGTTAATGCTGCTGCTCGGGTGATTTGTGTTATTCCGAAGCTTGACCATATCACTCCTTTTCTGATTAAACTGCACTGGTTACCTGTCTATTTTCGAATTCAATTCAAGATTCTTTCACTTGTTTTCAAGGCGTTAGAAGGCAAGGCTCCTGTGTACATTAGAGATCTTCTGAAACCTAAAGTTGCGGGAGGTTATTCTTTACGATCAGATAACCAGAGACTGCTGCAAGTCTCGAAAACAAAGTGTAAATCCTTTGGAGATCGAGCTTTCGTCCATTCAGGTCCATCGTTATGGAATGCCCTACCTTTGGATCTAAGAGTTATTTTAAAAATTGACTGTTTTAGAAGACATCTTAAACCTACTTGTTCAAGACAGCTTTTAGAACTGAATGGTTCTTTTTTAAAAATTTCTCTTTCAATGTTGCATTTAAGGGCCAGTCTCTGTAAGATCCTCATATCGAGTTTTGCCACAAAATAGATTTCGCTCTTTATTTTTCTGTAAACTCCTTTTAATAAGTATGTAACAAATATGAAACTAGATTGCAGAAATTCGCTTCTGTAATTTTTTTTTTAACGAATTTTCTTTCGGCACCACATGACGACCTGAGATGCTTGTGAAATATGCGAATTTTGTCAAAATTCAATCGAGTGCGACCCAAAGCTTCCAATTTACAATTTACTAGTTATTATAATTGAGCCTTTATCTTTGAAATAATACGGGTCAGAATCATTGACATTTTTTCATTTAGAAAATCTGTGGAAACACACTTAACCCCTTAGACCCATTTAGCGGAACATGCGATTTTAGCCAAATTCAGTGGATTAAATCTCAAAAGTGGCTCACAGTTACTGGCTCTCCTGCATATCATTGTATAGTTCAATCCTTCCGCTACTGAATCGTGTTAAAAGTTTGGGCGGCCATTCAGTTTCGGTCGAGGGGTGAGTGGCGAAACTTGCCTTTCTTGGCCATTTTGCCGGCGTTTCTCCAAAAGCGAAGTCCAGAAGGATTGTCAGAATAGAAAGCGAGAAATCGGGTAAATACCACTCGAAAATTGTCCATTCCTAAAGACTGCATACTTTCAATCACTGTTTTCCATGTGTCTATGGTTTAAACCCAACGAAGAAGGGGTAGAGGACGGTGGAACGTGAACTTACTGTGCGCCATGTTTTTGTAGGATTTGTGGAGCGTAGGAATTTGGAATCCAGAATGCTGAATTCGCAGCCCTTTCAAATGTCACCTGTTGGAGGATATTGTATACTTTTATACTTTTCTTTATTAGCGGAAGCTCAATCCGCATTACAATAATTATTTCATCTTTATCTTTACAGGATATTAAACAGAATGTCTTAGAAACCTTGGCTGATGAAGGCATTTAAAGGAACACGAATCGAGCTTTTGCCGCTATTCAAACAAATAAGTTGTCAAAACAGCAAACAACTAGGTATAGCTCCATTCTTCAGCTTCTGAATCGTTCTCAGACATTTAGCGCTCATCCAGTTTCGACAGTTTCGTCTGAAACCGAGTGTGGAAAGTCGCGATACTTAGCGCGTCACAGCTGACGCTCCACACCGCTTAGATTGCAAACTTAGAAATGACTATGGTATATCGATGCTGTTTTCCACAAGCACTGAATCCCCCTCCTCTCCGCTCTATCTCCATAAAGTTTTCAATAACAAATTTAGACGGTTCTCAATTACTGAGGAACTTTCAGTTATTCTTCAAACCGGTCTATAGCTCACTGACCACCTAAATCGCAGTTTACGCTACTGGCCAAACAACCAAAATGGCACACGCATCTGCGAAGTGTCCTTTGCCGGGATAGCAAATATTACTTGTGGTTCCTCACGCGGTAAAGACAATTTTTCCACTAAATAAGTGTGTTGTCCAAGTAAGGAACCATCTAAGAAGCTGTAACCTTTCACGCACAAAGGTCACCGAATGTGACCTAATTTTGGCAAGGGCGGGAAAGTTTAATCGTTCGCATGAATAAGTAGAAAAAATGGTTTTTTGCCTTGCCTATAGGCACAGTCTCGGTATAATTATACTGGTGGCCAAGTAAAACTGTCGGTATCCTGGCCATGAAGGAAAAACGATTGCCCTTCACTGTAAAAAAACAATTAACTGGCAAATGGCGCATTCAAGAAATCCCTGCGATTTTTGTTACCCTTGTTCATGTGGGGTCACGTAAGTATTTTCAGTTGTTCTGTTTTTTTAACTCCTGTCCTTTTTTTATTATTAACGAAGTAGTTGGGCATAAATAAATGGGGAAAAAGGATAAATTAAGTATAAGGAAAATTCAAATTTTACTTCGTTTTGCACGTCAAGTAGCCAGGAGTCACGTGTCACGCAATATTTACTACGAAAAGACTATTCCACAGGCTTTAAAGCAATTTACCTAACATTCCTAAAACAAATATATGCAAATAAAAGAAACCAAGAAACGAAACGTGCACAGGGTAAAAAACAGACCGTTTCTAAGAACATAGAATTATTTCATTATAAATGGAACTGGTTGATGTAAAAGCTTATGTACATTTTTTCATGTCTAGGGTTTATTTGTGTTGTAGTAATTCAATCAACATTCTGTGAATGTCTTAAAAGCAAATCAAGAGCCTGAATATCTGCCAGGCTTGATGTCCTCACATCTAAATAACATAACATTTTATGACATCTAAAATGTATTTCATTTCAATGCAATTGCATTGTGAAAATTCCGTTTTATTTGCTTTGTGTGAAAAATATACAACTGCACTTATTTATTAACCAGATCATAAACTTCTCAGTTAAAGAAACCCTCTTTATTTGAACCATGTATTAGATTCTATTTTTCGTAGCAGTAAAAACGTGTTGTATTTATTTAGGCTCTCGTCCTTACAAAAAAGATTATTAAGTATCAAGAATAAGTCATAAAGGGTGTCAAGGGCATTTACCAAGCCCTCTCGCAAAGTTTTCCTGTGTTCCAACATTGAAGATTTTCAGAGTCGTATCATCGAATGAACTTCATGCGAGAATAGCCAGGCCACTAAATACTGTTAAGATTTTTGCATGACATGAAGGGAAAAAAACTGTCTGCCTTAAAACACCTACTTGCCTTTTGAAGACACGAGGAAAAGAGGGCGTTCCCTATCACATACTAAAGCTTGTTCAGTCACCCCCGTTAACTTTCTGAGCCTGAATAAAGCTCAACAGTGATTTGTTCTAAGTTCCGGAAAATTCATTCTCAGGCTATTCAAAGACATTCACAAGTCGATTTCTTGGTCTGCAAAGAAGAAACAACTTACAGGTTATATGGTTAATAGGCCTAGAAGGTTCCTTTCTCACTGAGCCCTAAAATCACACTTAGAAAGGAAAAGACGAGGAAAAATAGCGAGAGCGAGGAAAATAATAAAAGCTTAAAATGACGTATTGACACTTCACATCTGCACTGTTCAGCTGTTCCTGAATCATAGTTTATCACTTTCAGATATCTCCTCTTAAGAAGTAAAATATTTAAATTGAGACATATCTTTCGACAGCAGCGACAGTTTGGATAGGGAATCCCCCTAGTGCCTAGAGCAGTCTAAGAAGACTTCTGAGACTTCCTGCTTAATATTCTATAATTAAAAAAAAGAGGTACAAAAAAATATTGTAAATGCGAAATGATTTTCCACAAATGACAAAAGGAAAAGGGTTTCGAATTCGCATTCCGGATTCCGGATTTCGGATTCCAGATTCTCTCCCTTCCACAAACTCCCACAAACTCCCTTCCACAAGCTTTGGGTCGCACTCTTATCCGGAGCAATCTGTTGAATTTTGACAAGATTTGCATATTTCACAAGCATCTTAGGTCGTCATGTGGTGCCGAAAGAAAATTCGTTCAAAAAATTTACAGAAGAGAATTTCTCCAATCTAGTTTCATATTTGTTATATACTTATTAAAAGAAGTTTACAGAAAAATTATGAGCGAAATCCATTTTGTGGGCTAAAACTCGATATGAGGATCTTACAGAGACTAGCACTTAATTATTGTAAATTAGGTAGCGCTTTAGGATATTTAATAGTTTAAGCGTTTTATAAGTCTATTTACTATTATTTAAAAGATTCTAGACCAAAGATAAAGACCAAGACTGTTTCAAATCATTAACAATTAGACTTGTCTGTCGCTATTGATTTTATAATTTAGATGCTGACAGAACAAAAGGAACGCTGTTTTTGATGTCTTTGCTTTGATCTTAGGGAAATTAAACACACCTTACTCGCGCAAAATTGTTGGGCAAGACTAATCTGTGAAACAGAAGACCGTGGAACCGCAGAACCTGTGGAACCGGCGGAACCTACGGAACCTAAAGAAATGACTTTTTTATTACAATTGCCTTTAAATAACGTGATGAAATAATTAGTTACAATCAATTATAACATTGACAGACTGTTCACAGTCCCCTTTTTTTCCGTAATTTCGTCGAGATCGAGCGCTCACCTTCACAGGCAGCCATTTCGTAATTAGATACAAATGCATCGAGAGCGCGGGCTTCGGGGTTGCCAAACCGTCCCCCGTTGTTCAAGCTAGACCCGGTCAAGATGGCCGTCTGTAGCGCTCCTTCTCGACGATCTTGCTGTAAAATAGAGGACTTTGAATAGTCTATAATACCATAACACTAATGGTTCCAAATGGGAAGTCCACTTAGCGGATTTCTGGCTTGTTATTACGTAGAAAGGTAACAAAAGGTATATATTTAAACACTTGAACACTTTAGCAACAATCCTTTTGTTTAAGCAAGCATTTGAAATTGCGCGCAATGTTTAGTGTATTCGATATGACAGATCTCTGCATTCTTTGTAAGAGAGTGGCACTCTCTCTCTCCAACAAGTTCCTTAACTGCGTGACTCACATCAGCTGAATATCCTCCCAGAACATCAATAATGATGTTATACTGTTTCACTTGGTAGCCAGGATTTCTCTCTCTGATTTCCAACATAAGTGGACCATATTTCTGTGTCTTCTCTATCTCTTTCACTTCGCGGTTATCCAACCAAGGGCATCTCATTTCAATGACTTACACTCGTTTCTGCTCTTTGTCAACTGTTCTTTCGTCGATTTCTGTTGGCCCTCACCTCAATGCTGTCTGCATAAACCGGTACATCCCATAATGCTTGCGCACTCCCATTCTCATAAAACGGAGGAGGCACTTCTGAAACACGTTCCAGGTCCTTCAGCATCTCAAAGAACAAGATTTTAAGAGCTGCGTTGTGCCTCGCGAGACTGACTTAGTCTGAGCGAGTGTCCCACACCTCGCCAGCACGTGCGACAAACTTTCGGGCGATTTGCCACATATTCGTTCCACTCCCTTTTCCAGTTTTCCTCTGGTGGTATAATTTGGTTGGTAACATCTGTTGATACAGTTCCTGCATGGCTGCTACGGTATGGTTTGGTACCGATCTCAAGTTATCCATCCATGCAAAACATCCTCCACCGTCTAGGGCTGAGTCTTCCAATCTATTTTTAGTTAGTTTCCCTTGCCGTTTTTCTTCTCCCAGTGTGTCGCAATAAGCTTTCTGTTGTACATTGGCAAGAGTGGTCTTCCTATTATTATCAGTTTTAATATATTTAGCCAGGGCTAAAAGCGAGGCTCCCATTAATATATTTATAATTTAAATCAAACAATAAACTTGTATTCCACAATTCAGTGAACTTTAGAGCACATACCACATTCATGTGACTTTTGAGGGAAAGGCTAAGTGATTTTAGAGAAAAATAATTTGCAAACAGCCCAAGAGTGAACAAAATCTTACATCAAGTTGATAGCTTCATATGTACACCTAAAAAATAGCAATCATCTTCGATCACATTTAGGAGCCATAATGGCTCTTGATCACCGTAAGATTAATTAGGCCTGGAAAAAAAATCACGCCGAATTTTTTTGCGTTCGACAAGTTTACTTTACAAAATCTTGCCAACGAATCCGGGTGCGTGTAAACCAACCTTTTATACCATTTATACATCACATCTGAGGTGAAACAGTACTATGAGGTACTGTTTTTATCATACAGACCTCGGACAGAATGCAGTATTTCACAAATTGCACTCATTCAATATTCAGGACGATCGAAGCACGCGTGGGCTTTTTAAACCATTAAAAAAATTTCCAAAATCATATACGGCCAGCCGGTTCTCACTTTTGCAGTGCGAACTGTAGCGAGTGTTTGAGCGAACATACTAGAGTTACTAGAGTCTTCTTCTTCTTCTTCTTCTTCTTCTTCTTCTTCTTCTCCTTCTTCGTCTTCTTCTTCTTCTTCTTCTTCTTCTTCTTCTTCTTCTTCTTCTTCTTCTTCTTCTTCTTCTTTTTAATTATTATTATTATTGTTATTATTATTATTATTATTATTATTATTAGTAGTAGTAGTAGTAGTAGTAGTAGTAGTAGTAGTAGTAGTAGTAGTAGTAGTAGTAGTAGTAGTAGTAGTAGTAGTAGTAGTAGTAGTAGTAGTAGTAGTAGTATTCTTATTCTTATGAAAAATCGGACCTATGTTCGTAAAACGCTGGAAACCGGTGTGGATCCTCGCCTGTGTATGGTGGATGTAGAGCGGTCACGGGAAGTGACGGAAGGCGCCAATAATACTCAACATCGTTCTCTCATCCTACTGTGTTTAAATATATACCTCTTGTTTCCTTCCCACGACTACTAACAAGCCGGAAGTCCGCTATTCGAGGAATTTCTGTTTCGAAACCAGCAGAGCTCTCGATCAGTGTTACTAAACAAAATCGACAAAGTTTTCAATGATCAGTACTGTTATAGACAAAAGCTCTCAACCACTCACCGGGCGAGAAATCGCTAAGTCATAGTGAAAAATTAATTGTAACTAATTATCTATTACGTTTGTCAAAGGGAGTTGTAAAAGACGGTCATTTCTTCAGGTTCCGTATAGGTTCCGCCGGTTCCGTAGTTTCCGCGGTTGAGCGGTCTGCAGTTCGACATATTAGTCTTACCAAAAATTGTTCTATCGTGCCGAGTACTGTGCCGTCGAGAAAAACAGAACCAAGTATCATAGGTATACTACTCCACTGTAAGCAGTCCGTGAATAAAAAGGGAAAGTAACCTTTGCAACTATTTTCCAAAAATATGCTCGAACACAAACAGTTAAAAAACATGGCATTCACAGGATCTATATAAGCTCGCACTGGTGCCTCTCTAAGTCCGAGTATCTATTTTGAGCATTTATTTTGAGCATTTTTCACCACAAAGGAAGAAAAAAAAAATGTTAAAATTAATTATAGATCATACTAAGTACAGTAATATATGGAATTAGCACTGCTGTAACGTATTTTAATATTTGTAAGTATATTGCCATGTAAGTGTGTAAATTCGCTATTTATATTTTTTTTTGTTTCGTTTTGTTTTATTACTTTATTTATTCGGCGTAATTTTTGTTTCTTTTCTGTGTGTGTTTTACTTGCAATAAAAAATAAATAAATAAAATAAAATTTTAAAAAAAGTCCGTTGAGAACAAGGTGGACGAGTAAACGGTAGCGTTTATCATTGCCGTGAATTTCCTTCACCAGAAGATTATTTTCCTCACGAAACTCATGGCCATGCTGTTGTAATCGTTTAATAAAAATGGCCGCCACCAACTCGATAGCCGCTTCATTATATGTCCACATACCTTGAGCACACAAAAAAATCCAAGAGCCAACAGCCTCTAAATTAATTCAGCAGAAAGGTTCTGTGAACCGTGACTATAACGAAGATCCCATCTAAGATCCATCACTCATTATGGAGTAGCCGTCGTTAATCAGTACAACGGCCGCTGATAAGAGGACACTAAATCCAAGTAAAAAAATTACAAGGGCAAACAATTTCAAAAATAACGTACAAAATTCTTCTGTGATCACCATAGAACGATTCTTAAAACAAAACTTTGCTAACTATCGAACGAAGGCTGATATTTAAACAAATAAGGACAGCCTTCCAAAATCTCCGATAGAACTTGAAAAAATCAAGTTTGTTTTCATTGGCTCGTACATGCGCCAGGGGTTTATCTCTTTTTAGTGTAAGCATAGCAATCTAGTTGTCTCTGAAAATTTGAGCCCGATATACCGAATCGTTCCGGAGAAATTCGTTTTTAAAAAAACTCGAAATCCTTGGAATACATGGCTCATTAACTTTTGTTACTATCCAGCAATTTCAGGTTTTTGAGGGCTCTTATTTCCTTCAATGGTGCTTGCGAGGAGCTGAAAATTGCAAAAATTGCTGAAGTTTATCAGCTCTTGCAACGTTTAAATTTAGTTCTGATATACGTCCACGGCATCCATGACCACTATATATTTAGCAGTATAGTCCAACCTGAATTAAGCCGACCTGCTTTCTTATTTCCCGGAAAATATTCTCCTTAATTACTGTAAAACGGAACTAGACTTTGTAAGTACAAATATATGTAGCGCTAAGAAAAAAAAAATTAGTTGTAATAAGCCTAACTTAATCATACCTACCCGCCTCGACTAGTTTTTAAACTATTTGCGGGTAGATACTATTCAAATTGTAACTGTCTGTTTCTTTAAAGAGTGTGTTGTTGTTGTTGTTTATTAAGTGGTCATCATCACTTTTTCCTTTAGACCTGAAGAGTTGTTAGAATATTGTCCTCACCTCTATTAAACGGTCCCTTCATCAAGATGTAGCATACAAGTACAATAGATATACGGTACATGGCATTCAGTGGTCGTTTATCGCTCACCTTTTGTATGGCACAAGAAGAGGAAGAAACACTTCGAGGTCACATTGTCGGGTTATGGATATCTCGCTTTGTCACCATCTTCATTTTCTTGATAAACTGTTAGGTCGGTCAAACCTGTATTAATCGGTCACCTTGTAATAAGCAGTCAGTTGGACATTCCTCAAGGATGACCGGCTTAATGCATGTCTGATTATATCATGTTTTTATTACAGTTGCTGCGATAAACGGATACTGCTTAGCCTTATTCTACCATCGATTGACTTATTAAGCAAAACGCTAAGTAGTGTATTAATTGGTTCTTTTTGTTTCTATCGATTAAGTTGGTGGAGTATGATGAAGCATCTTACTTGGTCTCTGTTGGGAATAGTGGAGCTGGATCCTCTGGACTCAGTGGACATCGCATCAGTAACTCTCGTCCACTTCCTTTTTGGAGCTTTTCTTATTGTGGGAGTCATTGTTCTAGTTAATATGATGATAGCCCTACTGTCTAACACATATCAGCGAGTTGAGGTAACATCAAGGCATACATGTAGTTTTATACTATTTCCTTACGTTGACTCTGTTGCAACATGTGTACGTGAACATAAACCTGCTACTTTAATTTATACAAACTTTCGTTTGACAATAACAACGATAAAGCTTATTGGCTAGTCGAGTCTGGTATTTAGGAGAGACAAATATAACTACAAGAAGAAAATAGATAAGCAAAGAAAAATACAAATCTTGACCACTCGACTGGTTTGCATTTAAAACATTGTAATTAGTTATTGAATAAAAGCTTGGCCTATAGTTTGACGACAAGACAGCCCTGCTCGTTATTTACTTGGGGATTGTACCATGCTTAAGATTCGAAAAACTTTGTGTTACACTCAATCTCGCTTTACGGACATCCTCTTAATACGGACACCTCATTATTACGGGCAGTTTGCTTTGTCGCTGGGGAAAGAAAGCCCTTACATCCTCCCTAAATTCCCGCTTAATACGGACACCTCGTCGAGCGAGTTGCTGTTCCAAACTAAGGCACCAGGGACTGAGGATGTTTTTTTCATGCTTTTAGTTCCTGCATATAGAAGAACTGATAGAGATCCGTACGTTGCTGATGAGTAAAATCTATTGTTCCTGGTTATTAGCAGTTGGCTCGGGACATGTGAAATTCGAAGTTTGACCCGGGCCTTTATTAGGTTCTAGTACAGTGAGGTGATCTTCAGGTTATTTGTCGTTAAACGGCTGGTTTCTTTTGAGGGATGGCCTCATATTGTTTTCTTAGAGGCGGATTTACGTAATTTACCTTTACTAAATTTCAAAACAAATAAGCAAACTGCAGAATGAATATGATATCATGTCAACAGCATCTAATTACTTCCTACATCCAAGAATATAATGAAATATTTGGCAATGTTTAAACGTGTGCTATTGTCGTTTTCATTGTCGTACTTATAAGCCATGGGAATTGCTTAAGTTGGAAGCTTGAAGTAAACAGTTAAGAAATGCTATTGATTTTTTTGAGGATAACTCCCTGAAAGAATGGTCATTCAAGAAAGCCATAACGATCCAGACCTACAGCACTTACCATCCAATTCCGGTACCTCTTAACCTGTTATCACATTTCTATCTGTGGATAAAATGGCTGTGCCACAAGTGCGGGTGCCGCAAAAGAAATCCGAGAAATAATACTAGGGATGACATTTACACAGACATATATCACGTAAGTAACTTTGTCATCATTTCAGCAAGTAACTTGGTAGATTAACGGAATAACAATATTTTTTCCATTTGCCTGGTGTTGCGTTGAGTGTGTAATAATTGTCTGGTCACTTCACAAGCGTGGATCAGAAAAAACAATTATGCCGGACTCAACGACACACTTAAGGGCCCAGTTATTTGGAGACCAACTAGCGCTAATCTAGGGTTAGACCTTAATTTGGGTTTCTTCTTCTTTAGTTCCAAAGCCTTTTCTCGGATAATTGTGTTTAGTATATACTTAAACAGTGGATAGTGTTTTTCGTGCGCTCTGATTAGCTACTCAATCAGTGAATATCCTGCACTATTCACTGATTCACCTCCAGTTCCTCCGAGCGAGCGACGCCAATTTCGCGTAAGTTGCGAGGTTTGCTGCCGTAATAAACAAAGAAATTTCACAACTAATCAAGCAAGCTGTTCCTGAAATACACGAAGAAGGTGACGAAGTTCGGTTTGGAAGTTTTAACAGGTAAAGCTGTGTCTTTTTGACTTGAATTTATCGATAAAACCGGTGAAAAAGTTTTTTGTTTACAAATGCAAATTAAGCTTAACTCTTGCGTTACTTTATTTAATTGACTTGTTCATAAATACTGAAGCTTAAAACTAAATTTAATAATCTTTTTTACAGAATGATTTTAAATACAAAAAGAATTCACAACTCCTTTTGAAGAAATTTCCCCGCAAGAGGTAAACAAATGCCTTCAAAAGTTTTATTTGTCGGCAAGAAAAAGCGACGACCGCGGCCGTTAGGTCATTACGCGCCAAAATTGTAATCGTTGGCAACAGTAAATGAGTTAAAAATCATCATTTTTGTGCTTAATTATCTCACTGTTTTAGTATATACTAAAAGAATTATTCACCTCAGTGTCGGTGGCTAGTGGTGGAGGGTTGTCCAATACTGTCGACCAGAATCCAGTCGTATCCCCTTGTTTTCCATCGGAAAACCGGAAGTCTAGTGGTGTAAAGTCCTACCAAGTGTATTGGATCCATTGGACATGAATAGATTCCGATGGAAAAGTTTATTTTCTATTCGTGAGAGACTTAGAAAAATTCCGCGCATGTTGGATGAGGGGGTGGAAAGTCGTTCTGATGGAGTCCATCGGATTCATCGGACACAAATAGATTCCGATGGAAAAGCACATTTTTCTATTCGTGAGAGACTTAGAAAAATCTCACTCATGTTGGATGAGGGAGTAGAAAGTCGTTCCGATGGAGTCCATCGGATCCATTGGACACGAATAGATTCCGATGGAAAAGCACATTTTTCTATTCGTGAGAGACTTACAAAAATCTCACTCATGATGGATGAGGAGGTGGAAAGTCTTTCCGATGGAGTCCATCGGATCCACTGGACACGAATAGATTCCGATGGAAAAGTTCATTTTCTATTCGTTAGAGACTTAGAATGATTCCACTCATGTTAGATGGATTCCACTCATGTTAGATGAGGGGGTGGAAAGTCGTTCCGATGGAGTCCATCGGATCCATTGGAAACGAATAGATTCCGATGGAAAAGTACATTTTTCTATTCGTGAGAGACTTAGAAAATTCCACTCCTGATGTATGAGGGGGTGAAAAGGTGTTCCAATGGAATCCGTTGTATCCACTCGATTCGAAGAGATTCGAATGCCTGGAGAAGAACATTTTCTATTCGCTGTGGCTATATGGCCGGTAACCGGTCAAGGTTTTCAAAATACTAAATGGCTGGCAGTTCTATATTCTCATTAAATTT